TCCAAGACAATAGCTGTAACAGACTGGATTAAATTAAATAACACAATATATTACAAAGTTAAGAAATATAAGAAATAACTCTAATATATACAAATAGCTCAATCATAAATATCCAGTATATTATAGAGGTGAAATATACATGGTTGACAACTGTAAAACTTTGTTAATTTTACTACAGAGTTTGTGCAAAAATGTGTAACTATTGCACTGTGAACTGTGCATTAGATGGAGGAGTTGTACAGGGAGATTAGTGGTGCATTTGGTTAATCTCAGCCTCTCACTGAACGTGTTCCTGTGACCTGCCAGCACATAATGGAGTGGGTGGGAGGTGTTGTCCAGCATTTTTTTGGACTACATCCGCCTCTCCTACACCACCTTAGGGGAGTCCAGCTCCATACTCACAACATTACTGGCCTTGAAGATCAGTTTATTGACTCTGTTGGTATCTGCCACCCACAACTCACCACAACAGACTCATAAAAAATATTGGGCATTGTCATGTGTACTCCGAGGTATTTGTAGTCCACCACAGTGTCCACATCGACTCCCTGGATTGAAACAGGCATCACAGGTTTGGTCCTCTTAAAGTCTAATTTCAAGTCTTTGGTCTTTGTCACGTTGAGTTGCAGATGATTTTACTCGCACCATTTACAAAGGCTTGAACCGCAGCCAGGTACTCCATCTCATCGCCCTCACTGATGCATACAACCACCACAGAGTCATCAGAAAACTTCTGAGGATGGCAGGTCTATGTGCAGTGGCTGAAGTCTGTGGTGTAGAGGTTGAAGAGGAAAGGGGAGAGGACAGTCCCTTGTGGTGCGCCTGTGTTGCTGCTAACCTTGTCAGACACATAATGTTGAAGACACACATGTTGTGGTCTTCCTGTGAGGTAATCAACAACCCAGGACACCAGAGAGGCATCCACCTGCATTGCTGTGGGCTTATCACCCAGGAGGGTCGGCCTGATGTTATTGAAAACATGACCCTCACTGTGCTCGCTGGCTGGTCCAGATGGGCATAGACACGACTGAGCAGGCAGACGATGGCGTCCTCAGCTCTGGTAAGCTGGTAAGAGAACTAAAGGGGTTTCTGATGTGGCCTGACAATAGGTTGGAAGCTGGTCAAGAATGACTCTTTCCAGGGTCTTCATGACGTGGAAAGTCAGTGCCACAGGCTCGAAACCCTGGAGCCACTGGGACATGGCATCTTTGGTACAGGAACGAGGCATGATGTCGTCCACCGCAATGGGACCCTCTGCAGACTCAGACTCAACATGAACAGTTTATTAAAGAATCCATAAGGCTGGGCTGCACAGGCCTTGAGGAGACGGGGACTCATCCTGCCTGGCCAGCAGACTTGCCTGAGTGGAGTCTTCTCATTTGTCTTTGCATCTGGTCGTGAGTAAAAGTAATCGGTGGGAGAGGGGTGTCACGGCACTCCACACCACTCTCATGCGCTTCTGCTGGAGTTTTCACTCCAGCTTTCTCCTGTAATTTTCTTTAGCCTCTCTGATCTTTCCCTTTAATAACGCCATAGACCCATTCTCACCTCCTCTCTATTGCCTGCTCGGAAGGCCCTCCTCTTGTCTTTGAGGAGCGCTTTGGTGTCTGTTAGCATTGATTTGAGCTATTGCCCTGTAAAATCTGTCCTTGAGTCTGTTTGTCCGCCACCTCAGCAAACTGAATCTCGTGCCAGACAGCAGCAGCTTAACACCCGGTGTCCTGGGTGTGCGCAATCCTGCAGGATGCTGCGTGCCCTGTGAGTGCTGTACAGGTCATTGAGGGAGGGAAGAGGATGTCCGATGATATTTTGGGCCATATTAATGACCCTCTGAAGTGCCTTTTTGTGTGCCATGGTGCAGCTGGAGAACCATAGACAGATGCAGTATGTCAGCACACTTTCAATGAAGCAACAGTAGAAGACAATCAGCAGCCCCCACTTCAGGTCCACTTTTCTGAGGATTCTCAGTAAGTGGAGAAGCTGTTGGGTGTTCTTTACAACCGCCAAGGTATTTGAGTTCCATTGGAGGTCTATGTCTATGTGCACAGCCAGGGACTTGAAACTGGACAACCTTTCCACGCACTCCCCATTGATGCTGATGGGCTGTAGCACAGATTTCCTCCTTGCTGTCTCAGGTGGAGCAACTCTTGTTTGGAAGTGGAGAAGACAAACAAATGGACTGGGGTGAGTCTTAGTCAGTCTTAAAGATACACCACAGTACTCCCCCAGAAAAAAATTGGAGGTAAGGAACCTGATGGTAGTTTGAGCCGGGGATGAAACAGAAAACCTTTTGACAAAAAAATAGATTTCATAACTACAATCATGATACCCATGATCTCTGAATAAGGGTGTACCTGGAGCTAACTAATAGAAAAAGAGCTTGCATATTGTGATTATCAAAAAAAAAATCACAAATAAAATCTTGCACTTATTATTCTGTTAGTTCAGTCTGCTCTTCAACTCTTCCAAGGAAGAAATTTCATGACCTTCCCACCAAAGAAACATTGCAAATTTACTCAAAAGTGTTACAAAGTGTTACATATCTGAGGTATATCTTGTATGTACCAATAATTATTATCCATGGATCCATGCTTATTGCTTGAGAAGATGAATTACAATCACAAACTCGAATATAAATATGAAAACTGAACAATCTGAACAACTGCAATAGAAGATGAAACAGAAAAACCTCTGGGTGAGGTCAATGTGACAGGAAGTGTACTTTTGAATCTATTATGTTTTAACCAATCAGAGCTATCATATGCATAGATGGTCTTACCCAGTCACTCATCTCACTTCCTTCTCTCACAGAAATAGCAACGAGGTTCCTAAAAAGGAGTAGTATCAAGATGGTGGGGTTATGGATGACATGGCTATTTCTTCATCAAGGACGTAAGGGCTACTTTTCTCTGTTCATAAATCTGATATACGTTGTTATTGTAAAATATAGTAAAATATATATGTGTAGAGTTATAGATAATAACAATAATGTTTTTGAAATGATAACAATTTAAAAATTTTCAAGCAAAATTTTGTTTTTCTGTGTTTTGTTTCAACTCAGACTCTCTGGTGCCAGTGAACATAGTTCAACTTGGTGAAGCGGCAACCTTAACATGTGCTTTACCGAAAGAGCTGAGCAGTAAAGCAATCTACTGGTACAAGCAGAACGTTGGAGAAACTCTTAAATTGATATTGGCACTGTATAAAAATACACCACCGGAATATGGTCCTGAATTTTCAAATTCAAGATTTAATGTAAATAATGATAAAAATTTTAGCAACTTGATGATTCTGAAGACAATCCAAGAGGATGAGGGAATCTATCACTGTGGAATCACAGAGTGGATTAATGCTGAATGGAGTGGGACATACCTGTTAGTGAAAGGTAATTTTGCACCCTAATTTATCAAATATCTTCTGAGCATGCTTTGAAGAATGTTTGTGTTTTGTATTATAAAGGAAACATTCAGAGGACATCAAACTACTCTGTTGTCCAGCAGCCGACAGAATCAAAACCGGACCGTACAGGAGACACAGTGACTCTTGAGTGTTCAGTCCTCTCTGAGTCTCAGAATGAGGCATGTCCAGGAGATTATAATGTCTTTTGGTTCAGAGCAGGATCACAAAAATCTCACCCAAACATCATCTACTCTGATGGAAATAGAAAAAACGAATGTGAGAAAAGATCAGAGACTCAGAAAAACTGTGTTTATCACTTCTCTAAAAATATCAGCGCTTTTGATGCTGGGACTTACTACTGCGCTGTGGCCACATGTGGAGAGATTATATTTGGAAATGGAACTTCAGTGGAACTTGGTACGATTATGAATTAAGTACTGCAATTAATACACAATAACATGTTATTCTAAAATGAGGCATAAGACTTTTTAAGAAGATTTATTTGTTTTTATTTTCCAGAACAAACAACACAATCAATATCTATCCAAATGACCTTATTAGTGCTCTTGTCCATTTCTGTCATTGGAAATGTTTTCCTCATCTTCTACCAAAGATTATGGAAACCAT